CTTTTGTTGTTCTTATTTTCCTTTTTTTTTTTTTTTTTTCGGGGGGGGGCAGGGGGGGGGGGGGGGGGGGGGGGGGGAGCGGTTGGGTGCATGCACACAGCAATAATAGCAGACACACAGGAAACCAAGGGGAACTTTCTCCAATCTATTCATCTAGTGCACATCCTTATCTAATGAAAGGTATAATTTTATGATTTATTTTTCTGAGAATTGTATATTATTATAAATCTATTTTTCTGAGAATTGTATAATTTTGTATTTTACTCTTATTGAATGACATCGATGTCTAATTGAAAGGAAGGAATTTACAGAACACTTAAAATAAGCCAGTAATGTCCCCATCACACCACACTAATTATCCTTCTTTTAATTTGCACAATAGATGCTTTTTTGTTAGGGTTGGAAGAGAAGAAGTCACATATAGTGATCAGGAAGTTACGGAACTTGACAATAGGAAAGAAAGTTTTCGTATATCAAACGGAGAAAAAAAAGATACAAACCTGGGTGACATAGTTCCCATACTGATCTTGAGCAAGAGGATAAGCAGATTCCAAGATTTCATGCACTATACTCTGACTTTGAGAGTTTTCTGAACAATGTTCCAATACTCTCTTTGGAAAATTCATATGAAATGAGATGGGAGTCAGTTGAAATATAAAAAAAGCAACTATATCTCATGGTACAACATAGTTTAATAGTACCTGGATTACACGACAACCATAAGGATGAGTAGACAATATAGCTACTTGGCCTTGGAATGAGGAGATAATGAAGTTAATTTTTTCAGTAGGTATGCACTCAATGCATTTTTGGATTACATGGTTCCCATTTTGATCTCGTACGCACTTCATTACATGCCCATTGAGTTCATGGACAAGTTCTGTTTTCTGATCAAGATCGATAACTTCCAGGGCCTAGAAAGAACATCAACAACAAGACAATGACATCTTTATTTGTACAACTTACTGAATTGCTTGGATGAAAACGGAAAAAAGAAAACTACTGTACCAGAGTACACAAAATTAGCATAATAAATGTGCGCTATGCAATATGATAATAACTGTATTGCCTCAAAGTGTGCTTAGCACAGTCATCGACCATGGTTTATAACCTATAGAAGGGACCTTACAATCTGCTTTCAGCTCTACCTTTAAGAGATCCAATTAGTTAGCAATATTAGTAGGCACTTGGACACTCTTTGAGAAATTGACAAAAAAGTATTGTTGAAGTTGAAAGACATTTGTGGAAGTTGCAGTTGTCTATGGACGTGAACTTGATTTGAAAAAAGAAGTTGAAGATTTGTACGCGCAAACCAATATTTCACTTAAAGGTCTAATACTAAATTCCCGTATTTGCAACTACTTATTATGCCCAATTTAGAGAGCCAAGAATTGGTTGGAGAAGCCCATCAATCGAAATATGGATCATCAAAACCCTAATGAAGTGAAAATGGTAAAAATCGTAAACATTAACAATTTAAATCTTTACCACTATTGATAATGATGATATTTCTTAGAGAGCAATGAGCATGTATATCAAGAAATTCTTTAAAATTGATCAGTTATTCACCATGTCAAATCAAGGATCCTATATCGAGAAACTCTTTAAATTTCAGCCGCTAATTCAACACTTAAAAGAAATGGAGAGGGAGGGGGAATTTTTCAATAAATTCTCTTAAAAGTATATTAGCAACCAAAAATCCTTGTTTCGTACAGTTATGCAAGCATGACCTGATTCAAGAGAAGGATTGAGCAACACTGACATGTACATGGGGAAAATGTTGATGACTGTGAGGATACGTAAATGTGACTCCGACTCTTCAAAATCAAGGGCCATGGCTTGAAAGGCAATTGTTTTTTTGTAAGACAATGATATTATTTATCGGTGAAGTCCCCATATACAAGTTGTTCGTCATGCAAGAATAACAACTTCCATATGAATCCAATCATAAAAATATATTTGTATACTTGAAATAAAGATATACCTTTTGAATAACACGACAGCCATACATTTGCAAACTTAAAGGCAGCATATGCCCTGCTAATTGACATGCCAGCATCTTTCTTTGCTCATGACTTCCATGCTCAAAGAACTGGACACACAATTCAGATATGCAAAACATGCTGGAAGGTTAACGGCTCAAGGGTTTAAAAAACTGAAAATGTACAGAGAGACGTGAAAATACAGAAAACCACAATGTTTACCTTTTGAATGACATAGTTCCCAAAAACATCTGTTATTAGCTTTGAAGCATGTGGAAGAATTTCTTTGAAAACAGATGCCTTCTCTTCAATACTACAATTTTCCAATTTCTGCTGTATAAACCGACTTCCATGCTGATCAACACTGAGGTTAAAGAACCATTAAATTAACTTCACATCTTTGGGATTATACAGAGAGTCTACTGCAGAAGATACACAGTTGGTACATATATACTACCTGAATTCAACAACACGACCTGCAATATCAGAGAGGTCAATTCTTCGAGCATTGCTTTGTTTCAGTTCTTCGAGAAATGAATGTCTTTTAGAGTCATTCAAGCTACCAGAACCCCTTTGTGCAGTCCATCCAGAATACAATCCATTATTTCTACCTGAACCAGGGGCCGGTTTAATTTCATTCCTTCTTCCAACAGGGGATCCTGGCAGTACAGGACTACCAAGAGGTGAGGCTGGAAACTGTTGCGTGAATCCCAGGCCCGATGAACTCCCAAAATAATTATTACCAGGAATTATCATTTTTCCAGGACTTGGTAAGTTCAGACTTCCAATTGGTGGATGAAGAAAATTCTGTTCAGCAATATAAGAAGGGAGATTTGGCTCCTTCTGTGAGGCATAAGCATCAACTTCAAGCCCAAACACACCAGGCGAAGGAAACCGCATATACTGACTAAGAGAAGTGTGTGAATCATCAACAGGATGAGGATGATGAAAGTACTGCATATGAAAAGGATCTGGGAAAGAAGGATGCATCATTAATCCATGATGCCCATAAAACTTGGTTAAATGATGCAGATCACCAACTTGTGGAATGTTTTCCCTTGGTGCAACACTTTGACCACTGATGCTTCGTCCAGAACCAGCATTAATATGCATAGACGGATATCCAGCTAAAAATGGAGAAAGAGAAGGCGAACTCAAAGCATATCCCCCTATATTGTATTGAGGGGCATATCCACCAGATGAACTCAAGTTAGAATAGTACGGATTACCAGAAGCCATATAGGCTGCAGCTGTTGCATATAGAGGAGGTGTGAGGCCAGAACCTTGAGGAGCTGCTTGTACTTCAACTGAAGAGAACCAGCTATGACCATAACCTTTTGCTAGGCTACTCTGTAGTGTATTAGTCCCAAGTGTATTTGCTTGAACTTGTGGGCCATTAACTTGGTAAGTCGTGCTTCGCTGGGAGTGGTACTGCTGCTGTTGTTGCTGTTCTACTGCAATCCTGCTGTGAAAATACTGTTCATCCTTGTTCTTACTAGCCTCTGGAGCCTGAATGTTCTTTGAAATACCTGATGCTATCTCATCACCGACTAAGAGTTCATTCATCAGATGTGCATCATTACCTGGTAATTCACCCTTCTGAGGGGAATGAGACTTCGCAAGACTGTCAACACAAGATTCTTTTTCAAGTGTAATTGCCAAAGGCTGATCAGAGGCAGTGATATCATGGTCACCTGAGACATCCGCACAAGCATCTGCACCGTGTTTATTTGAAATATCAAGGGAGAGACTGTCCAATGTAAGAGATTGAATATCAGAATCAGTTGGTTCCTCCACAGCAACATGACCAGAGGACCGAGATTGATTGTAAACTGGTGATGGAGTGCGAGGGAAGTCCTCCTGTGATCAAATTTAATCAACAGTATAAGCAGGCAGCATGGAACATGAAAAAGAGCACCCCAGAAATCTAAATGATACTATCTTCTCATTCATTAGCACAATGTACCACATGCATGCTTCAGAAAATTAAGCAGAACTTCTTAGATGTTGAAAAGTTGGGCACATGCAAAGAGAAACTAAAAAAAAGGAAAAATTACACAGAATGGAAGAAATATTCTAGAACTTCAATACCTGTATTAGGTCAACCAAACTTTTATGTTGACCTGCAAAGGAGGCCAAGTGCTGTCCTGAAGCACAACTTTGGGGCAGATCATCTGAAGCACTCTGTGGTAAATTTTCATCTTCCGGCTCCTCATCATGAGTTGAGAGAGAACTTCTAGTCACATGCAAGGATCCATCTTTACTATTCTCAGAAGAGTTTAACTGGCAGCTATCACCCAGATCTGCAAAATGGTGTGCCAGGTGTCTATTCTCCCTAGAAATAATAGGAGGAGGAAGCCTAGGATTCAAGTTGACATTAGAGTTGTAGTATGCAAAATACGAGGGATCAGCACGCATCTGCTCTTCAGACTGCCAATTCTGCATGGCATTGTCTAAGCTTGCCAAACTCAACTTCCGGCCGGAGCTTTGATCATAGACAAGGTTACCGTAGGCTGAAAATGAGCCCTCCATACTTGGAGGCGCACTACCACTACGATTTGGAACCTTATTTCTATTATGCCCATGAATCTTATGACCTTTAAGAAGCAATCCCAGTTCATCAGCTGCCACTTCATTCATAGGTGATGCGAAGGTGACTGTGTCCTTGGTAGAAACCCACTTTTCTTTTCTACTGTCTTGGAGTATTCTCATAGGGCTCTCAGTTGCCATGTTGCTCAAGAGTAAGCAAGCATATTTTAACTACAAGAGTTTTCAAATCAACTAAGCCAAAGGTGGAGACATTTCAACCGAAGCTTTTCATCAACATCACATGAAGAGATTCTAGAAACAAAAGATACTAAGCTGTGGTGACTACATATAATCTGGGGCAACTGCAACGGAAGATTCAGATCATAACCAACAAGGAACAGAAAATGTTTTTGTCAAATAAAAAGAAGAGGAAACAATTCATGATGCAGTGAGACTTGTTGTAAATAGGGATGAGCAGAAATATTTATTTAGCTACCATAACATTTACTTGCTAGAGGCCCAATCAAATTATTTTTCATGTAACCCCATGACCAGAGGGGACAATGATTGATGATTAAATTGAGCATTCTATTTCCAGCAGCTAAGCGTGATTATATAAATGAAAAAAAATGAATAACTGGTCAAGAGTGGTCAGCAAAGAAGTAATAGATTAAACAACCCTAGTTTAGTTTTGAAATTCAGAAGCATTTGTTTTCCAAAACTTTTAATGATTCAACGATGCTGAATGGTTTGATTGTCCAAATAGAAGTATTTTTTATTTTTTATTATTATTTGTATGATAGGGTGTATAAATAGGAAAAAAATAGTAGGAAAAAGTGCAGGATTCGGAATTCCTGTTTGTAAAACGGGTTGTATGTAGTAATGACCATGTGAAACCTGTTAGTAGAATCGGAGTGGTGATCAACACAGAGGGATGCACTGAAAAGGACAACCAGGGGACAGGGTCATCAGAAGAGAAATGGAGTAATTAAACTTGACAACAGGTATTTTGGTAGAATCGCATGGTAAGAAGAGAGAAGAAGAAGAGAGTCAAAGTGTAACATAAGAACCCTAGTACAATAGCAGATGAAAAGGAAAGGAAAGTGATTACATACCTGCTCTAATGATAAGGAGAGAGAGAGTCTGCTACATAACTCCCCGATGGTATGGTGTGGTGTGGTGTGATGTGATGATCAATTCCTAAACGTAGCGCAGAGCCATCCTACATAGAGAGAGGAGAAGAAGAGAGAGTTTTCTTGTTTGTTTTAAATTACTCCTACTCTACTACTTACTATATTTATTTATTTATATTTATTAGAAGATTATTACAAATGTCGCTCCTTAAACCCCACCACGGGGTTTGAAATAGTACTCATTCATCTATATTATCCTCTTTCTTTCTTTATTCTATGTATGTATCAATTTGTCCAAAAACAAACTAAAATAAATCGCCCTCCTCTCTTACTATTTACTACACTAGTTGGATTATTTTTTTTCTTTAATTCAACTAGACCTAATACAAAAGGATAAATTAATGATCAAATTTAATACTTTCTTTTGAAATTGTAGAAATATCAACATACTCTTAACATTATTAATTTATATATATACGATATAGCAGTACATATGAAAAATACAAAAATAAAGGTTATAAATTTAATCAAATATTATTATTTAGCATAAATATTTTAATAGCAACACGTGTTCGTTACAAGAAATAATAGAATTTTAACCGTATTTTTTTTTTTTACACAGGTAGATCTCTAAATCCAAATTCTGATGATTCGTAAGTGAGGTAGATGGTTCAGCTAACTACTTGCAATAAAATATACAAGTGACGTAGTATGATGTTTGACTTATAGTCTTTTAACCTTGTAGTTAATTGTTGGACGTGCAACAACAGCATAGAGTACCAATTTATTAATGTTATATATAAGATTTGCTAACTTCTCTTTCTGAATGCTAACTACAATTAATGTGCATTTGAGAGGTTGAAACTAAGGACATTCATTTCAAACATTAGTCTTTACAATTCATAACCTTGTCCGTCATGTTCCTTTTTATATGTCTTGCAAAATTACATTATTCTTATAAAAAGGAGGAAAACACACACTTGAACTTGTTTACATTTGTAATTCTATGCTAGTAGCCCAACCAAGCAGATGGTACTTGTTGAAACTTTTGCTTGGCACATGCCAATAGATCACAGTACTCCACATGATTCAAGCAGTCGCGGAAGTCTGTGAAAAGCCTTTCAAACACTCTCCATTGGACTTTATAAGACCTTGAATATGGGAAAGGTAAGATCACCTGCAAAATACATTGAATGACACACAAAGCACTATGTTACTAAAGAAAACATGAAAACTGTCTAAAGACAATTGAATCAAAACACTTGACAATAAGGTCGAAATCTTTCACGTGCCTATGCCCTTACCCTCCATCTTTTTTTTTCCGGATAGCCTCTTACAACCCCCCCCCCCCCCCCCCCCCCACA